TTCCTTTTCTCTCCTTAGCAAATTTTTTCCATAGCATTACCACCCTCTTATCTTCTATACTCTTTGCTTACATACTTTGTGTATTATTTTTCTTCTCAGACTAGAGTTTAAGTGTCACAAGGGTAAATTCTACTACAGTCCCTAAAATAGTGTGTAGTACAAAAAAAGATATCAATATTTATTTAATGATGGAGAGAATAAATTCAGAAATGAGATGTAACTAAGACTATAAGCCCTGAATTCAGGTTGTCTGGGTTTGAACTAGCACTGCTGGTTCCTGGCTGTATGACCTTGAGAAAATCACTACCCTCTCCAAGGCAAATAAAATGAGTGTCTGCTTCCTACGCTGCAATGATTAAATGAGTTAACACCAAAAGCATTTAGAATAATGGCTGGTATGGTCAAGTGATCAATAAATATTAGTTATCGTTGGTATTCAGCAATCTATGGGTAACTTTTCTTTTTCAGACATTGTTGAAGATCCTGTGTGCTGTCAGAGGGAACTTAAAACTATAATCTTAACCCTTAAAAATTTATGGTTGAATTTGTATGCAGTTCCCCTTTCCCAGCAAATCCTTTTGCACTTGACCTTTTGAACTTCAATTTATTCTTTAAGAACCAGCTCAAAGCAGACTTTCTTGGTGAGGTCACCCCATTCTAGCAGGTGAAATAAGCTGTCTTTGTACAGAATGCAAAGCACTCATTTATTTTGTTGTTTTTCTGCAAACATTTATTGAATGTTTATTGACTCATGGGCCAGAGGAGGCCATAGGGATAGAGAAGACTTAAGACATTGACTGTGACTTTCAGGGGTGTGTAGTCTTGTAGCAGATGCAGACAGACATAGAAACAAGGGCAAAAGGTGGCATGTGCTCACCAGTAGGTAGAGTGCTAATGTATTTATTAACCTGCCCATCGCCTATACTGTGAGCCCCTGTGATCAGATTTCCCACATTTAATTTATTCCATAAAATTCCTCTTCCAGTGCTTGTGGGACACAAGATATGGGCAAATATGTTTATCAAATGATTGAAAAACATAGAGAAAAAAGAGAAATGCTTAAAAAAGAGATGAGTAAAAGTGATGATGAAGAAGATAATATTATTAACAGCTAGTACTTATTGAGAGTTACTGCTATAGTTTGGATCTTAAATATCTCCCAAAGGCCCATATGTTAAAGTCTTGGTCCCCAGCATGGCACTGCTGGAAGTTTGTGGAACCTTTGAAAGGTGAGCCCTAGGAGGATGTCTTCTGGTCACTCACTGAGGGTGTGTCCTTGGAGTGGATAGAGGGATCCAGCCTCTTCCTCTTCTTTGCTCTTCTATGTCCCAGCCTTGAGATGACTGGCTTGCTCTGCCATACACTTCTGCCATGATGTGCTCAATAGCAAGGGGCCTATCTGATGGTGGACTGACCCTCCAAAACTGTGAGCCAAAATAAAATTTTTCTCTTTATAAATTCATTATCTCAGGCATTTGTCATAGTAGCAGAAAGCTGACCAACACATTCATTATGGGCCAATCATCTTTCTAAGTGCTTAATTTAAACTATATTGCAACAGAAATGTCTAAATTTTATGCCTGAAGAAACAGGTTCAAAGAAGCTATACAAATTGTCCTGGGACAGAGCCATGATTTCAACCCAGGACTGTTTGCTTCCAAAGACTATTTTTGCCTACAACTGTATATGTCAGAAAGATGCTGGTTGGTATCATTCTGGAAACATTTTGTGGTCAGCTGCATGTGTCTGTGTATTTGGTATTTCTTCTCCTGCTATTTTTCTTGCTGTAAACTCTTCAGACACAATTACAGAACTAAAAGTTGTAGACCAATGGCTCCAGGGAGTCGTGTTTCAATTAGCAAATTTGAAGCCAGTGTGGTCAGCTTTCGAGATTCTGACATACCTTCTCTCTCCTTTTTCTTTTTTGCAGTGTAGTTTAAAATGTGCTGATAGAGAATTGGACTGCTGACGGTTGCACCAACCTACCCATCAAAAAGAAGGAGGCAGTGGGGAACAGTTAGGAAGAACATAAAGATATTCCTTTCCATTTTTTAAAAGCCTTTACTGGCAGTGAGAGAGTGAGAAAGATAGGAGATGGTCCAAGGGGGCCTTGTGTTTCATGACTTTAAAGGTACTTAGTGTGGGGCAAGAAGTTATTTTTCTTTTTTGGCTCCTCTAAACAAGGATAGACAAATCATCTTAGAAGACAAAGGAAGTTTCTGTTTTAGCATCAGACTCAATGTAAGCCTTGGAAATTGTTATATATTCTGATGTTTCAGTGGATGTCTATTTAGTCAGAACTTTTTGGGTGATATGTAAAATCAGGTAAGTTTCAGTGTTCACAACTCTAGGGACTATCTTCTGTTTTCCCTGTTTAATGAGATAATCTAGGTGAAAACCTGAATTTATTTTAATAGAACTTTTTCCAAGAACACACTTTGATTTTAAGATGCGAATATATTTTATTAGGATGGCTGTTTGAAAAAATCAGTATAAACAGGACAAAATAAGCATATTTAAAGATTTTTAAGAAAAATAAGCTCATCTGTTAAATTAGGATAGAGATGGAAGGATGTGATATTTTAAGCAACCTCAAAAATCAATTCACTTTGCGACAAATGTATGTCAGCTTAGTAGGGTAACTTACTTCTTCAGCTCTGACATGGGCATGAAAAGATCAATCAACATAAACCACATGCCAAAAGCCAATTTCAAAATTGTGTACTTATTATGATTTTTCCTAAGAAGAACTGCATGTGTGTATACAGAACTCTTGTAAAAGGACAAATTTGATTCTACTAAATGAAATGGTGAAGACCTCTATGAGTAAAATTAGAGTTATATGAAGGAGAAGATAGATAAAGTCATTCCATTAGAATCTGACTACTAGAACATCAGGATTGCCATTAATTCAGAATTAATATTATTGTACTGATGCTCTACCTTTTTTTATAGCAAATTCTTTGATTTTCTGTATTCTCCATTAAGTAATTTATAGTTGTCTATTTTCAGAGATGGTTGCACTTCATCCTATTTTTATATTTTTGGACACAATAGTAATTATGCTGTTAAATAATGGGTATAAAAATCAAGTTATATAACTTGATGTCAAAGCTAGTTTATAACATAATTTAAGGAGTTCTGAGTCCAATTTTGAGTTTTTCTTGACCCTTTCTCTCAGAACTCAATTGATAATATTACCATACTATTTTCTATTGAGTTTGTCATTTCTGCAACACCATTATTTTAATTGTTAATCATTAGACTAAAATATAAGGAGCATAATAATAGGAAGGGAACATGATTTTGTTTTGTTTTGTTTTTCACACGCTGGCAATTGAACCCATGGCTTTGCGCATGCTAGGCAAGTGTTCCACCACTGAGCTATATCCTCAGCCCCACATACTTCTTTGTAAATGTAGGAGTGGAATAGGCATTTGGTAATATATACTAGATGAATAAATGAGAGCTTGAGTAGGTATCTTAATGTTGATAATCATAATAATTATACCAGTAAACATTTATTGTGCTATATCTTAGGTACACATTGTTTTAAATTTTGACAAATTATTTAATTCTCATTAACTCATAAGACTAGAGAATATAGGCACCTTGTCTAAATTCAAGTGAGAAGCAAGTGATAACTATAAACCCATCTTGCTCTTTCCTGGGTCTTCCTTAAGCTTCTTCCTTCCCCTAGTTCTGCAGTATTTTTTTATTTAATTTTGTTCAGCCTTAAATAAGGAGCATGCCCTGCAGACTGGACAGTGTTAGTAGAGAGAGGCAGTGGGTTGTTCTTGGCTATTTCCAACACATATGTGTGGCATCTGATCCCTCCAGATATGGAGCTATTCAGTGGATTGGATTGATGGACTCTGAGGCACCCTTTGTTTCTGACAAGCACTCACTAGTGTGCCTCAGCTCTGCAAATGTCCCTCCTCTTCCTGCGGTTTGTTAGTGTGCTGAACTGACACCTTACGTGCAGTGTGATGTAGAGTTTGCCCTTTCCTGGCCCCTCATCAGAATTTTCATCAGAATCAAGGGGGAAAGCTTGATTGGAGCTGCAAGGCAAATACATTTTAAATTGGAAATTTGATTCTGCATTTTTAATTGCATAAACAACAATGTGCTAGAGTGATTTAGAAAGGTTCATAACTTGGTCCAGTCGACAGACTTGTTTACTGAATAATTTAAAATCTAATTTTACATATGAAAATTTAGAAGTTAGATTTAAATTCAGAGCCTTTCTCTGTCTCTGTCTCTGCCCTTTTCTCTTTGAACCAAATGAAACCAAACCAACTCCACAAAATGATCACGTTTGTATTTTGAATCTAAGGAAGTAACTTGTTTATTTACTTTATTTTGGGTGAATATGTTTATGGGTACTAGATTTTTTTAAAAATATTTTTTTTAGTTGTAGTTGCACACAATACCTTTATTTATTTTTATGTGGTGCTGAGGATGGAACCCAGTGCCTCATACATGTGAGGCGGGTACTCTACCACTGAGCTACAGCCCCAGCCCTGGGTACTAGATTTTAATGCCAATGAGTTTGAATGTGTACTTTTATGAATATTTTTGTTCTTGGTGGCTAGAGCTGTAGATATCAAACGTGGAGTGGACTGCTTAGAGTTCCATGACTTGGGCCACTGTTTTGATGTCTTGTGTTTGTGTCTCAGTACACCAGCCAAATGTTCCTCTCAAGACAGTGTCCTATTTGCTCTTAAATATATTTTATTACTGAGACATTTATATTAAGAACACCATATCAAAGCCCTTTTTTGCTTTTTCATTTTTCCTGTGGATGAGGAGACCTGGATGGCTTATCTTATGAAGAACAGTCCTCACCAGAGAAAAAATTTGTATGCAGCTTAAACTTGGGATTCCCAGACTCTAGGGATATGAAAATTTTTTTCTTAAAAATTTTTTTTTTCTTAAAAAGAATCATCAACATATGCTAGAAAGCTATGCACTTTGATGTACTATAAAGAAATGAATGGTAAAGTTTTTAGTCTGTTTTATTAGTCATAGAGGATAATAACTCTCTAATACACATGAAAGGACAAATTAATATGATTAGCCCCATAACTTTTCTAATTCTAGAAGTAGAAAACACTTAATTTTAGTCAGAAATTTTGACACGAATTTCCTTCCAGTTTAGATGCAACTGTCTATAACTTCCTTCTGGATGACCTAGAAAGAATGAAAAATAGTTGGCTAATGCACTGATTCCATAAATTAAGAAGCAAAAGCAGTTGGGTAAATATCGATGACTCAGAATCCCCCTCCCTCTTTAAAAAATCTTTTACACTAACAACTAAAAAAAAAAAAAAAAAAAATCAGGTTTTTATACCTTAAACAGGTTTCTTGAAATAGATTTGAAAACAAGAGCCTGTGGCCAGAGGGAGCCCGTTTCACCAGTGCTGTTACCACAGTCTCGGCTTACCAGGAATGCTGGAGGGATGACGAACATGATTGACAGAGCCAGGCTTAACTTGGTGTGAAGGCGGAGGGCTTCAGGCCGATGAAACACCTCTGGAAATGTGCCCAAAGGAAACACAGAACCGCATGGGTACGCTTTCATGCCAAAGACTTTCTGGAATGGGTCCAAAAACATCTTCTGTAAGAGGAAATGAAAGAGGAAATAACTTGTTATTCCAAAGGGGTGAGAGGGTTGGGGGTGAGAGTTGAAAGAAGGGTTGAAAAGAGAGAAAAAGAACTGAGCTGTGAAGGTGAGGATATGCCGAGGAGGGGAAGTGAGCAGTTGGAGTTAGAAATGTGAATAGGCTCCCAAAGATAAGGAGGAAGTGGGACTGTTTGGAAGGTAAACACACCATAATGGAAAGGGCGGCCTTGCCAAGAAAAACAACATCAACATAATTAAAGGAAAAGGCTAACATAAATGTGAGGAAAAAGAGAAAATGCTGAACAGGTCTTAAATATAAGAACATTCCAACTCAGCATTTCATCATGGACAACATAAACAGGAAAAGGAAGAAAGGCATTCTGCAGCTCTGCACACCCATATTCCACCCTGTGGTATCTGAGTGATCAGTCAGTTTTCTGTTGACTCAGGTATAGTGGATGTTCAGGGTGGGGTTAGAATTATAACCCCAATTGTTTATCTCTCTGGGTCTGGTATGCTTTGTATATTTGTCAGAAGGCCAGGACACCAGGACACTTTATTTCCTGAATTGTGTTATTTTGCAGCGCTAATGTCAGTAATTTAGCAAGCTATAAAACCAAGTAATGTATACCTCTTTTATATAAGATTTCCTTGAGCTCTTTTCATACTGATGGAGTGTTAGAGAAACAAAGTTAAAAGATGACCAAGCTTCTTGCTAAGTATTACAGCAACCACACACAGCAGCACCCCATTCTGTTCTCTAAGCAGTTCATGTCAAACTCTGATGTGCTCTCTTTTAGTTCTTCAGAATTCTACACCTTCTTCCTAGAATAAAATTGCTCAGAAGACTGGAATCTTCCCCAGGGAAAAGGGAATTATAAATACCATAGACAAATGAAAATAATGGTCTACTTTTTAGTACATGTCTTTGACTTAATCTTCTAAATTAGTAAATGAAAGCAATGTTGGGGGTCTCTTCTCTAAATTATCACCAAAATAATTTTATATACAAGTTTATTTATTATAAAAGAAAGTAAAAAAAGATCAGAAAATGTATTTTCCTATGTAACGAAATTTATCAATCTAATTTTTCTTTAATGTTTTTCCTTAATAAAACCCTACTGAAGGTTGTTTTGTGTATATCTAGATTTTTAATTGTTGGTATATATCATTCCAAAAAAGTGCATCAATATATAAAATCTTAGAAAGGGTATGTGACTAACCAAACCCTCCATTGCTTTATTTCCTCTTTTTGATAAGTCTAATTTCATTTTGCCTTTTAAAAATATTTTCATTAGTCATTTGCTGGAAAAGAGCATTGCTTTCATAGCAGTTTATAAAATCATAAAAGCTTGACATATTTCTCTTTTGCCAGAGCAATTGGTGACAAATAAAATAGAAGAGAAACTTTAACCTTGGCCCTTTCTCCACTATAGAAGCCTGAGGATTTATCATTATTATCTATGTGTTCTCAAAATGTAAAGACCCAAGAAAAATTACATTTGAATGGACAATGGCTTTTTAAGGCAAGGGGTCTATTTAGCTCTTAGGGAAGCAGGTGCCCTGGAGCCCTGGAGTCACACCCTACCTGTGTGACAGGAGTGAGCCAAGTGAGAAGAGAAAAAATGAAAGGCTGCCTTCAAGGGAGACTGGGGACATGAGCATAAGATTAAAAAAAGGAGAGTAAGATCCCTGAGGAGACTTGAAGTTGAGAAACAGGCTATTTGGAACCAACAGAAAAAAAGGATACTGAAGAAAACCTGAAATCCAGTTTAAAACAAGCAGAGAAAAGACAGCTGCATTTGTCTGTTGAAGTGTCCAGAGCACATAGTCTAGATGAAACTTAACTTTCAAACTCGAGTTGAAAAGTCCCATGAAAGACTTTCAATGGAGGACTGGGGTTGCAGCTCAGTGGTAGAGTGTTTCCCTAGCAAGTATGAGGCACTGGGTTCAATTCTCAATACCAAATAAAAATAAATAAAATAATGGTATTTTACCATTTTACTACAACTAAAAATAATAAAAATTAAAGTAAAAGAAAAATAAAGACTTTTAGTGGAATTGTTGTTGGTTTTTGGAACTGAGAATGCAATTCTCAACCATTAGTCTAGACTGATAATACTTGAATAGACTTGCCTTATAGTGGTATCCACTGGAAAGAGATGTTTATAATTTCTTTTTTTTTAAGAACATAGGTCAGGGGTTATTTATTTGAAGAGAATATTTATACCCTTGATTTCTATTTCTCTTTATATATAATGCTTGAATCATGATCTCAAATAATTTAAAACTTTTCAACACACTTCAAAAATATAATCCCCTCCCCCCAAAATGGAAAAAAATATAATCCAGCTGTCAATCATTTATAGTACTAGAACAGATTGAGTCTGAAACAATTAAAATACAAAAATATCTGAAGCCTCTGATCTCGAAAGACCCTGAAAAACTGAATCTCCCAAACCATCACCATAACTTTTGCTAGAAGGGGAAATGGAAACTAAAGCAAGGTAAAGCAACAGTTGGACAGCAAACAGCATAATACACACATGGGAAGTTGAACTTTGAATTGAACATTCTTAACTACACACTCCCTTCCTTGAGAAAAGGTTGCTTTCAAGCTCACTTAAGGCAGGGGTCCTGACTCATTCATATTTGTACTTTAGCCTCAAATTTTAGCATCTAACATATTTTCTTGCACAAAGTAAAAGCTCAATATTTATTTGATACATCAAGTTGAAAATAGGATTTAGCCATTTCTTATGAGTTAAATTTCCCTATTCCTTTTAAATATTTGATTTTAGAGAATTATTATAAAATTGTGCTTAATATGAACTCTTCCTCTAAAAGTCTCTGGGATACTGGAGAGAGGATACATTACATTGGAACTGTATCTTTCTTCCAAGTAAGATCAGGGACAAATAGGGAGGCATTTATCTGGGGACATGAACCATACTTTATGACAACTCAGAAAATACCATTGGCTTACTTCCAGGAGTAAAGGTAGACTGTAAAAAACACAGATAGACAGACTGCTGTGTTCTAGACTCATCTTTAAGCCATCCAGAAATTCTCCCAGAAGTACATTTTTTTTCTTCTATTCCCTAAGGACTGACTGTCTCATAAAGTTAAAATTCACCCCCACCACTTTCTGGGAACAGTTTTTTTTTTTTTTTTTTTTTTTTTTTTGGTGTCATGAGTTTACTGTTCACCAAAATGTCACAAGAAAAAAAGTATTCATGAAACCATTTCTTCCTTTGGCTACAGAGTGTGATGGGCTGCCAGGATACATGAGGGGAAGTTTGTGGGAACAGCAATTATCTAATAACAGCATTTTAAATACATCCTTATTTTATGGTTTGTGTTCAGAACCCACTTCCTTACACTGCAGGTTTTATTAGTACTTAAAACTAAGCTTGAATTTCCCTGCTTCTTTGGTAAATAAAAAAGTGGAGTCTTAATGTAGTCTGCTTAACTTTTTATCCTATGTAAAATGTGAAGTGATTATTTGAACAGCATTTCATTAAAACTATATAAAACTGTCCTTCCTAGAAGATGTGAATTTCTTCTTTGAATCTCATTTGGAGAAAGATGGACTATTTTCTAATTCAGAATAAGAGAGGCTGCCCTGTGTTGGGGTAAATCATTGGCAAGTCCTTGCAGAAGACCATTTTTTGGTGGTCCATAAATTAAAGAGAAACAAGAGCTGGATTTCTTTCTCCTCTGTTCCAGGAGGAAGCTTGGTAACTTACCTTCCAAATATTAGACAGAAGAAAAACTATTGTGTTAGTTTCCCATTGTTGCTGTAACTAATTACCACAAATAGATTGACTAAAAACAACACAGATTTATTCTCTTATGATTCTGGAGGTCACAAGTCTGAAATCAGTTTCATTGGACTAAAGTCAGGTGTTAGGAAGATCAGGCTCACTTGGGATGCTCTGGGGGCAAATCAGTTTCCTTATCTTTTGTAGTTTTTATTCCAGTACTGGGGATTGAACTCGGGGCACTTAACCACTGAGTCATATCCTCACCTCTATTTTGTATTTTGTTTAGAAACAGGGGCTCACTGAATCGTTTAGTGCCTTGCCTTTGCTGAGGCTAGCTTTGAACTCTCGATCCTCCTGCCTCAACCTTCCAAGCTGCTGGGTCCTTATTTATTTATTTATTTATTTATTTCCTTATCTTTTACAGCCTCTGGAGCTGCATTCTTTGGGTCATGGTCCCTTCCTTCATCTTTAAAACCAGATTTATAGCATTTCTTTTCTCTATTCTGCTTTTCTCTGCTCTTCTCTGCTTGGTCACCTGGCCTTCTTTTATTCTGTGACCTGAATCTCCCTTTGCCTTCCCCTTATACTGGGATGCCTGTGATCACACTTTGGGCACACCTGCACAATCCAGAATAATCTCCTCATCTTGAGGTTCTTAATTTAATGATATCTGCAAAGTCCCTTTTTCGTCTCTTGAGGTAACATTTGTAGATTCCAGAGATTAGAATATGCATATATTTGTGACTCCTGTTCAGCCCGCATAATACTCTTTCAGCCTTTTCTCAGAATGGCAGGGCATGTAGAAACCTCTCACTATTTTTCACTTTTGTGAAAATTTACAATATTAAAAACAATTATTTTAATGGAGTGTTATGGTTTGGATACTAGGTATCTCTCCAAAACTCATGGGTGAGATAAGAAGGTTTCGAGATGAAATGATTGGGTTGTGAGAGCCTTAACACAATTAGTGAGTTAATCCCCTCATAGGGATTAACTGAATGGTAGCTGTAGGCTGGAAGGGTGTGGCTAGAGGAGGTAGTTCCCTGGGAACTTGATTTTAGGGCTTATATTTGTTTTTATTAAGCAGAGCGCTTTCTCTGCCTTCTGACCATCATGTCTTGAGCCACTTTCTTCCATCACACTCTTCCGCCAGGATGTTCCCACACAGAGCCCTGAGGAGTCCAGCTGTCTGTCTGTCTATGGACTGAGAGCTCTGAGACCATGAGCCCCCAAATAAACTTTTTATCCTACAATTGTTTTTGTCAGGTCTTTTGGTAGCAGCAATGAAAAAGCTGACTAAAACATGGAGGAAATTAAAAAAAACATTGTTGCTTATTCTGCAAGAATTTAGAAAGCAAAGGTGATTTTTTTTTTCTTTTTTACAATTATCAGTGGATTACCTTAAAATAAACATCACTAAGAAAATCCAGCTTTGGGTGCATGGAAGCATTTCTGTTCTACAAATGTGGAAATTGAGGCATTGTGAGATTACGTAGTTTGCCCATAGTTACATGTTTTAGCTTTTTTGCTGCTGTGACTAAAGGATCTGACCAGAACAACTATAGAGGAGGAAGAATCTATTTGAAGGATCATGGTTTCAGAGATCTTAGTCCATAGAAG